GCGAAGGCTGGGGTAAGGCTGACCCCGAGGGAGCAGGGTACTCTGGGAGCATGGCCCTGGGATAAGGGGCGGTGGGCAGCGCGTCCAGTATGGAGAGCACAGCGGGGGGGCTGGAGGGCATCTGTCCCCCAGGAGCTGCATGGGATCCCAGGGGGGCTACACTGAACGGGGGGGGTTCTCTGCCCACAGGTGCCTGAGCTGGAGAAAGCCACGGTCCGCATACAGCAGCCAGAGCGTGTGATGGGGATAATCCGGTCCATCAAGGAGCAGGGGATGAACAAGCTGCAGGTACCGGCCCTGTTTGGCTCCGGCTGTGGTGGGGCTGGCCCAGCTGAGCGCAGGCGATGCATCGCCGTCAGGCTCCGTCCTTGTCTTCAGCTGCCCCCCTCGCTTCCTCAGCCTCCCTGGCTGTGGCCTGGCTGCTCCGACGCACATGCAAGGAAGCACGTTGTACACATTTTGCAGATGGAGAGGGAGAAGCCCCAGACAAGAGGAGGGGACCAGGCTATTTTTTCTGTCGAGGCCCAGGCTGGTGGCTCTCCCTGGGTGGGCCTTTTTCTTCCCTGTTATGCAAGTTATAAATATGAGCCAATCCCCAAACACCCCCCCTCCACCCATGGCAATAAGTCAGCAGGATTAAGCCTTTTGGTGCTGATAAGAGTGCTGAGGTGGGAGAGGTGCTGGCTGTCTCAGATGAGGACATCTGCTTCACGGCTGGCAGGAGTGTCAACATTCGTTGCTGCTGTGCCCTGCTGTGAGTCTGCACCCTCACGTGAGACGCCGGCGCTGGATTTGATCCTTGCAGGCAGCAGCACCCTTGGCTAGCTATGGCAAAGGTAGAGTGCGCTGGTCACGCACAGACTTGGTCTTCTCTCGCCTTCTAGGTCATTTCTGACTTCGACATGACGCTGAGCAGGTTTGGGTGCAACGGCAGACGCTGCCCCACTTCGCACAGTGAGTTGAAGCCATTGTTTTTGCTGTTGCCAATTCTGTTTGTTTTCCGTGTTTGTGTTCTCAGTCTCTATGGCTCCTGTTATCCTCTGCCTCCCTCCTTTGCCAAGCCGTGTTCTCCATCTTGTTCTCTCTCGGTGCAGCTCCGGGCCTCGGCTGCTTGCAGCAGCGGCTGCTGGCCCCTGGGCAGCCCACTGCAGAAGCTGTCTCCTGGTCTTGCTGCTTCTTCTTCCAATACTTGCATCCTGCAGCTTGCTAGCGTTGACGCTGCTCTCTCTCAGCTGAGCAATGCCCTACGATCGGTGCGTGCTGCAAGTTCACAGTGGGAGCTGCTGTGTTGAGACCCCATGGCAAGCCTGTGCTCGGGTCAATGTGCCACACACGGCTCGTTTTTGGGAAGAGCTGGCACTGGAGACGCAGGATAGCTGCCTTTTAGAGAGCCTTTTTATGTTTCTGGGCTACAACATTGGCATTTTATTGTCGTTACAGATATCCTCGATAACAGTCGTGTTATCAGTGAGGACGGCAAGAAGAAGGTAGGTGCTGTTTTATAAGGCACTGCTTCTTGGCTCTGTGTTTTTCGTCCCTGTCACCCATCATCAGGAGGTTGTACTGGCTCATGTGACAGCTCTCCAAGCTGCGCCTTGCTGCCAGGACGGAGAGTGGGGCAAGTGTCCAGGCTGCATTTCAGCCAATGGAGATGGAAGGAGAAGTTAAAAAGGGAAATTTAATTTGTATGCTCAGCTGTGGGCATTTTCTGTCTGGTAGGAGGAGGAAGGGTGTATGTGTGTGCACCTGTACGTGCAGTATTTGAAGCAAGGTGAGAGTCAGTCAGGCTGCCGGAGGGTTAACGCTTCCTTCCAAGATCTCCAGAATTGCTCAGAGTGAAGTTGCTTAGTGAAACGGTTTTGGTTGTGTTTTTCATTAGGAAGTGTGATGCTTTGGAGGAATTTAGAAATGCTTTTTTTGCTGTTTATGGTCTCTTTAGACGTGATGTTCACTCTGTTCTTTTTCCATCTGTACAATGCTCCAGCTGAAAGATCTGCTGCACTACTACTATCCCATTGAAATCGATCCCAACCGGACCCTGGAAGAGAAATGTCCCCTCATGGTGGAGTGGTGAGTGCTAGTATGTGATGAGCTTGACCTTGTCCTGGCAACTTCTCACCACCGAGGACTACAAGACACAAGGCTTGAACTGTCTCTAGGCTTGGCCGCAATACTGGGAAGTTTTAGTTGTTATTTTTCTGACTGCTTTAAGGTCGCTGCCCGGGAAGCTCACTCTGTTGCCTTTCCCTAGGTGGACCAGGGCCCATGAGCTGCTGTCGCAGCAGAAGATCCAGAAGCGTGACATAGCCCAGATAGTCAGAGAATCGGACGTGATGCTGAGGTACGGGCTCGGGGTTCGGTGTGGTGCCTGTGGCCCTTTCTCTCCTGCTACTGTGCAAGCAGGTCTCCTCGCTTTCACCCTGATCTGCGCGCAGCCTCCAAAGCGTGGCAGATGCAAATCTCCCTTCCTTCCTGGGGCTGAGCTCTAATCGTGAAAGAGCCGAAAGTCAGCGCCACGAGCTGCAGCCTGAGTTCGCTCCCTGGCTGCAGGCTGCTCCGTTCACAGCTGGCTCCTTCCTGCTCAGAAACCACTTCCACGTCCCTTGAGTCTTGGCAAGGAGCAGCCGAGGGGATGGGTGATGGGCAGAGCTCCCTGAACGGCTGGTCAGAGCCCTTGGCTGTTTGCAGGGCAGGCTAGGGGGGCAGTGTGCAGCTCCCCCCCCTTCCACAAGAGATTTTCTCTCTACTCACTGTAGCTGCTGGGCCTTATTCAGGCCCTTGGTTCAGCATCAAATTTCACCCACAGCACAAAAATGTTGTGCTAAAGCTTGCTGTTAAGGCTGGCCTTGGCAGCGATGGTCCTAAAACCGTCTCAGGGAGCCTTGGTTTGAATGAGCTGCCAGTCTCGGAGAGGAGATGGTACCATCTGTCTGGGTTTTCATGAACCCAAATTCCTCTTCTGCATGGAAATTGTGTCCTGGCAGACTGAGACTGCAACAAGTTTGTCTGATCATCCTCGCAATCAGTCTGACCTGTTGCGCGTCTCCAACATACAGTTTCTGAGTGGGCTGGCAGTACCCACTCTTGTGGGCTTGTGCAGGCACGCTGTGCCTTGTGCCCCCGGTGAGAAGCTGGGTGCATTAGGGAGATGCTGGGCAAATTGCTCGTGTGCTGCATGTTCCTGTGCAGCTCCTCGCTAGGTTGCTGCTCCCAGGAGGGGTCTGGGGTTCTGCTGCACACCCCTTGCGTGCACAGTGAACACCACAGAAATGCTGGTGCCATAAAAAGCTCATGCTTTTTGCAGAGCTCATGCATGCATTTCTATTCAGGAAGTCCCGGGTAGAAATATGAGCCTCGTAGCTGAGCTGAGAGCGCTCCCAGCCCACAGTACACCAGGCACCTCACTGGGAGGTGGTAATGCAATACTGTGTAATGGACGCTTCTGCTCTAGGGATGGATTCAATGAATTATTTGATCAGCTGCATAAGTACAACGTCCCCTTGTTCATCTTCTCTGCTGGTGTCGGTGACATCCTTGAAGAGATTATCCGTCAGGCCAACGTCTTCTACTCAAATGTCAACGTGGTGTCCAACTACATGGACTTCGACGATAATGTGAGTTTCTGCATCACGTATGTGTGGTGAGCTTGCAGAGAGGAGAGTTGTTTGATTGGAATTGAGGGCTGCAATACGTTTAACAGAGACACTGCTAGGTTGAAAGCTGCCTGTTAACATTTCTAAGTATTTGATCCCTGTAGATGGAGCTGACCCTTTGCTGGGTCATGGGAAAGCTCTAGAGGCTGGTCGTGGCCTCCCGCCCCATTTGCTCTGCCTTCAGGGATTGAGACCTGCTGCCACCATAGCAGCCCTCTGAACATCAGCACTGAGGGGGTGTTAGAGGTTCCCCTGCCCTCACAGGGAGTTGGATCAACAGTGAGAGAGAGCAGAGCACGGATAAGGTGGGCAGGCAGAGTGCAGGAACAGCTGAGCATCTGCTTGCAATCCCCGTGACGCATCGCCTTTCAAACTTGCTTTTTGGTGGCAGAAGTGCACTGCCGTCTCTGTGTCCAGTGCTGCGTGCTCCGTCCTGGTGCAGGGTGAGGATGGAGTTAACCACAGAGGTCTCTCCTGATCTGAAGGCCAGATGTCCTTTAAAGCAGCTCGGAAGGCTTTTGTTGACGTACTAAAGCTGAGAAGTCCCAATGCACATTAGAAAATTGCATGTCTCTGACAATGAAGCCCTCTGTTCCCACGAGTGGTGTGTTGGGACAGGCTGTCCTCGGGGGAGCATGGGACAGCATGACAGTTCTGCCTTCTGCAAGAGTCCTGCTCTGCCCTGGGGCTCCCCTGGCTGTGGCTTTCTGTGGCCCCTCACCAGCTCCAGGGCAGTGCAGAGCCCTGACCGAGGTCTCTAGGATCTCCATCCTTTGGGTTTGTTTTCACCTTTGAAAAGGGCTTGCCCTGCAAAAGGGGACTCTTGGGGACTGTCTCCTGGCTGTTTCATGCTGCTGGGTTTCCAGACTCCTTGGGGGTGTCTCTGAGACGAGAGCTGGTGCCCTGTTAGCATCCCCCCCATTTGCCCAATCCAGAAAGGGTACTGAGGCTGCGGCACAGCAGAGGGATTGCTGCGGGATCAACTTGTCTGTCCTGTTTGCACAGGGAGTCCTCACACATTTCAAGGGACCTCTCATCCACACCTACAACAAGAACAATAGTGTCCTGCATGGTACAGAGTATTTCCAGCAGCTGAGCACTAGGACAAGCATCATCTTGCTGGGGGACTCCATGGGTGATCTGACAATGGCAGATGGCGTTCCCAGTGTGGAGAACATCCTCAAGATTGGCTTTCTCAACGACAAGGTGGGTGCGAGAAGCAGTTGTCTTGCTTCCCTGCCAGCCTTCCCCAGGTGCAAAGCCTGAGGGGCAGCAGAGAGGGGCAGGCAGCTGCCCGAGTGATTTGGGGGATGCGAGAGATTCATACAAGCTCCCGTGGGGTGTGCGGAGGGAGCGGAGGGTGTCTGCTGAGCTCCCGGTGCACCTGGGGCATTGTCAGGGTGGTTATTGATCCCTCGTTTTGGTAGCATCAAGAGATGCAAGCGCTGTGGGTGCGCTTCATTCTCGGCTGCTGGTGTTTACAGTCCTCTTCTCTCTCTGTGGCCCTCTCCTCTCCACCCCATCCCGG